AGGAAGATTATTTATGTAAAACATCCACAGGAAAACAGATATCAAACTAGATGAAAATATTTCTGCATCAAATTCAGAATTTCCACTAAAAAAAAAGTGTAACACACCTTATGCTTTAACTAACAAGACAGCACCACTTACATGACAGCTTTGGGACAAATTCAACAGGCACATTCTGTGGGTTAAAAAAAAAATTAAATTTAAAAAGCTCTCCACAATATGAATTACAGGGGCAGACAGCTTCAGCTGTGCCAAAGAGTGTCTTTGAGCTGTTTAGGATTAAAGCTTATGCTGGCCTATCTGACAGTGCAGAATGACAACATCAACAGAGAATTGCTGGGAAAGAACATCTGAGAAGAATCTCTCTCTTTTTTTTATGAGGTGTTTGTATGTAAATTGGCTTTTGAAGAGTTGCTTCTGTCAACTTTACACTCCTGGGATGTGGATTCTGCCACCTGACTCCAAGTAGGGACATTAGGGTTAATGAATTAAGCTTTTAATTAAGCTGTCTTACACATACCTTCCATGCTACACCATCCAATTTCCCTCTTCTTCTTCACCCAGAAAAATAGAGCAAAAACCATAAGGCAAATCAATTTGGTCCTGTCATTAACTTCGTGGCAACAAGCCTTTGGAAAGGGTTATTTGTTATTACATCCTGTGAGCTTCTTAATATTGCTGGAGCCACAGGATGGCAAGGAAAGGCATAAAAAAAACTTCTCCCATATAGTGAGTAGGACCATTATAGTGGTGAGAGAAAAACCTACATGTGAAAGTCGATAATAGTGGGAAGAGAAGGCACAGAATAGCCAGAAAACCTTATATTTATGTGCATGTTTCATGATTGCATTGAAGTCGGCATTCAGTTCTGCTATTGACTTTTGCTATTTCCCTGTTCTGGTGGGGGTGGGAGGGAGATGATGCAATTAATGCAGTAGGAAAAGTTTCCACTGTCGTGTTCTAAAGTTTCTAAATTCATGGAGGCAACTGGATCATGTTTTCCAGCAAACCAAGTTTGTCATTTTTACCTAGTACCAAAATGGCTCATATTATTTATGTCTGTTATCACTGTGTAATCAGTCACATCACATTTAAAAAGGTGCTAACATTTCACAATTGATATTAAACAGAAATTAATTCCACATATTTTAATTTGATAACTTCATTTTGCCTCCTCTGATTTTCCTGACTGAACTATTCACTGTCCTTTCTTGAGAGAATTAATCAATTCCCTCACTTCAGTTAAAAAGTAGATTAAAAAATTATCATTTCTAAAGGCTCACCTTATTTTTCTTTTTTTAATAAGTATAGACTTTGTTAAAAAATTTCAACATCCACTCTATGCCTTAGCAATATTTCTGTTATTAAACTGGAATCCAGCTTTGTTGAAGTAACTGATTTAAGGCCTACAAATAATTTTCTTTGAATTAAAAGTAGTCATGAACTTTAAATAGACTTGAAGAGTATTTATAATACTTTGGAAGCCTTTGCTAGGGAAAGAAGGAATCTTTGCCCATCCCACTTGCCACCTCAGCCTCCAGAGCTGCAGCCTGGGAAAAATATTTAGGGAATGTGTATTTACTCCTGTTTGTCCAACGAGAGCTCCTGTTAGCACAACAAACTTTACCTTCTCTCACATGTTGTCTTTGCAACAGAGCCTATCCTTCCATTCAGCATTTGTCCATCTGCATCAGATTAAAGGAAAATGATTGAACGTGATTATTTCTTACAAGATTTTAATAAAATAGTAAAGAAATCCATGTAAATAGAAGCAGTAACAGCAGCAAGAGACGTCACTTTTGAATAACAGGATTAATGTCTGCCATCAGCACTTAAAGCAGATAATAAATTGGACCTGGGAGTTTCAAATATTATATTTGTGTGATATTTAATGACTATTTGCACTGGCAAGCAAGTCTCACTGCCTTTCTCCCTCTTAGTAAGTATCCTACCCATTTTCCTGAAGTTAATGTATGGATAACCGATCTCTTATGCAAAGCTGGAATAGGACTTAATGAACCTCCATTACTCAAGCTGCACATTTTCCTAAAGATGAAAAATGCCATGTACAATGTATTTTCCTGCATGTGAATAAGCCCATTAATACAGATTTCTGAACAGAGTGTTTCTACTCAGCAATTTTTTGCCCTTTGGGAGGGAGAAGGAAAAAAAGAAAGGAGCGGGGACTTCCCTTCACTCCCCCACTTCATCTCCAGAAAGGAACTGGATCAGCTTTGTTAATACTTTGGATTCAGAGCTGTTCTCAGCACATAGGCAACAATTGCCTTCTGACAAATGTTTATTAAACCTGAGTTGCCAGCCTTAAATCTGTTTTACTGTATTTTCCCCCTACTTTGATGGGAAATGATAACAGAGAAAGTCATCAAAGCAGTACAAATACCAAGAATGCTGTTAGTTTGACACCTTGTTTGCCTCTTAATAACTCCCCTCCCTGAAGAAGCCCATGTGAAGAATTAAATCTCTACATACTCACAAGACATACTAATCTCCAACCAGATTCTGAAATGCAAATTCTTTTTCCTCAGCAGCAACACATAAGCACCAGGAAAATTACCATTTAGGATGCACAAAAAGCTGATTTGAAGCCTGAGTCAAGTATCTGAGACAAAACTTTGAGTGCTGTTGCAGTTTTAGGACAGAGTTCTCAAACTCTCTTTTTTTTGTGTGTAAGAAAAAAGTATCAGAGCAGCATTCACTTTGTAAAGGATGCAAAAGGAAGTCTAAATTTCACCACGGTATAAGTTCTCTGTAAATGCCTAATTACAATGACTTGTTAAATTCACTTCAGAGGAACAAGTGTTTTTGTTTCCAGCAATTAATTAGTTTTGGAAACTTAGACACTCAAACCAATTTTTTTATTTTTTCTAGTGTTACTTGATAAACATTCTAGATTATCACACTTTTCTCTGTTTAAAAGTGTGTTAAGCAAGTCTACCTTTCCACTGTATTTCTTGGAATTTCCCATTAATTCTACCCTCTCCTACCTTTCCCTCTCAATTTCCACTTTTACCCTTCAAAATGGATCCACTGTGCTTTGGATTCTCTGTGGAACTCAGGATGAGTTTTCATCAAAGCCTTGCTTTACTCACATTGTGCCGGGAGACCTCTGTTGCTTTCCCTCTCACTGCTCAGACAATTAAAAAATATCAATGCCAGAATCAGGAACAATTGCAGACACATTTCATAAATAATTTATCAATAATAAGGCTGTACAAAACCTCATTTTTTTCTGATAAACTTTCCTTCTCAGCTGTAGTCCTGAATCAAGTAATGTGAATTTTTTGAGAGCTTTACTGTTGCACTACATAAACCTTAAGGAAAAAAAATATAAAAATAAACCACTTTTCCCTCAAACATCTCACACACTTACTATGACTTCCCAAAAGCAGAGCGTGATCCATTCATCCCCAACAGTTCACAGGTTAAAAATACTTGAGCACCACTGAGATGAGGTTCAAGCCCTTGATTTGAATTTGGCTTTTGGTCTCCTGCTTTCAAAATGACCTCTGTAACCACCATTTCAGATGACATTATTCTCTCCCAAGAATGGACCTGAATTTTCTTGGTAAAAGGACAACAAAAAATCCAAATGCTTTAGAATCAACAGCTCCCTCCCTCCAAAAACAAAAAGACAGGAAGGTTTTGATGGAAATGACATTTTCTGATGAAAAAATTATGTTGTTATAAAGTAGCAGAAGGTTTCCAAGTGGAATTATTTGGTACCTCTGAGGCAACACACTGCAGCCACAGCTTCTACTTGTGCAGATACAACCCTATCCATTAACACTGAAACACAGGGACAAGGCTGTGAATTTTATAGAATAATGATCCCTCAAAGAATCTTGCAAAAAGTCAACTCTGCTGTTACTTATTTCATAGCACAGGCTACCAGCTCTTGACAACTTTATCATTATTAGACTCTCCAGTCAATCACTTCGTGTCCAACAGTGCAAAGCTTTGGGAACTCCCCCTCTCACCATTTCACCAAACCTTCCCTCTCCGGCCAACATCGCAACACTCAATCAATTCACAACTCAAGGAATTACAGATTTATGTATTTTTCAAATATTTTTCAGGACATCTTGGGTATCCAAACTACTTCAGCAAACCTGAATGCCCTCCTCTCTCCCCAGATTATTCAACTGGCATAAAAACTACACATGATCCTCAGAACAAGAGTTAAGATCACCTAATAAACCCAGCAGTTACCACATTTTCTTTCTTTTTTTTTTCTTTGAATATTGTGCCACCATTGCTTTGCACATTTCAGAATTCTTCTCCTACAATAAGGATGCTTTTCTTGAAAACAACAAAAAAAACCCAAGCTGTAATTGGACAATCAAGAGAGAACCATAAGGATTCCAGTATGCCACCAAAATTTTCCCAAGAAGACATCAACAGCTAACTGAAGTTCTGTGTTTTAAAAATCATCCTATCTACAAGGATGTCCTCGATGTCCAAGGTATATGTGTGGGGGAGAAGAACCTGCTTAAAAATTATGAATTCTCAGCAGAAACTGCAAATAAATTACCTAATTTCTAAATGCCTCATTTCTAGCAGTTTCAGGTCTACTTAGATTGTAAAGATATGTTCAGAACAACAAATGACAACATTTTATTTTGGTTTCCTTGTCAGTCAGAACAGATAAAAGGTCTGATCTTGTGAAGAATCCAGTAACTTAAGTGGTCCTCGACTGTAGAAGCAGCTGGCACTGCTTCTGTGAAAGGCTGATCTCTCTCACCACTCATGAAACAAAACAGTGACACTCATTAATTCACTATGCACTATTATTGCAGACCCATCCCATATGAAAAAAGTAAGCTGTTATAAACCCCAATTTTGATGTAGAATGATATCATAAAAAGCTCTGTTTAATAACCTGTTTCCCGCTTTCCCTCCAAAATCTAAACCAAAAGTAACAATTAAATAAAACTCAGGAAGGTTTAGTAAAGATTGTGACCAAAAGGAAAAATTCTTACCTTGAAGCATCAAAGCTGTCATAGGATCCAACTGTGTAGTGTCTAAACAGCTTCTTTGTTCTATCTGTTCGTGTTTCTGCACAAAGAAAAGAGAATTTTAATACTCCAGTATTCGTTTGTCAAGTGCTGAAGTATTTGTTTACATTCCCCTGTAGTGAATTAATGTGGTTTCAAGGCATTTTGAAAAAAATTTTAACCTTGGAGATGTTTTTTTATCATATCACACATATCAAGTGAATAAGGAGAACTTCTTGTAGGTCATTTATCCTGTCATTCAAAAGTTTTAAAATTCCATTCATATTCTCAGAGGCAAAACATTTTAGGACCAATATTTGGTTCTTTTATAGTTTCGGCTAAGAGGCAACGTATAAGAAGAAAGGGCAGGGCAGGGCAAGGGCAAGGGCAGGAAAGGGGCAGGGCAGGGCAGGGAAGGGCAGGGCAGGGAAGGGCAGGGCAGGGAAGGGCAGAGAAGGGCAGGGAAGGGAAAGGGAAGGGAAAGGGAAGAGAAGGGAAAAGGAAAGGGAAAGGGAAAGGGAAAGGGAAAGGGAAAGGGAAGGGAAAGGGGAAAGGGAAGGGGAAGGGGAAGGGGAAGGGGAAGGGAAGGAAAGGGAAGAAAAAAGAAAAAAACTTGGAAAAGTTGGAAAAGTAGCCAAAATACAAAAATCAATTTTTTTTGCTTAAGCACAGGTTGGTCTTCCAATGCAATCACATTAAGTTTGGCTAAGAGACATGAAAAATCACATGGAAAAGTCACTGGTTTAGCTTGTGACCCTGAAATTCTCATCTGCGCAGCTGATGAACTTTCCATGGAAGGACAGCCTGAGTCCATCCAAACAGATTTTATTAGTTCTCCAAGGCAGACAGAGCCCTCAAGGTGCACCATCTCTGTGTCACAGCTTTCAAGGATGTTACAAATTACTGTGAGAGGCAGTGCTGTCAGATGACCAAGTCTGCAGAGGGAAAAAGTACATCGGGGCAGGGTAACAGGCTTTAAACACAGCCAAGGAACATTTCACAGAAGCAAGAACTGGGAGGCAGATTTGGGGTGGACAAAACGCATCTTTCTTTGCTTTAACCAGTGCAGCTGACACATAACTGGATAATGCCCCCAGAAGGACTTAAATACAATATATACATAACACAGAGAAATTATGGCTGTAAAAGTTACAGCTGCCTAAAAGTGTAAGCAAGTTATTTCTTCACAAGACTACAAGTAAAGAAGTGCTAAGAAAAAGCAGAAATATTTACATTTATATGAATTTCAGGGAGACCAGACAGCCTCTTTCCTACAGGGTGGCCAAAGAAAGAGAAAATTCCTATTATAGTATGAATCCTACTTGGTAGTTTTGTACAGGCTTATTTTGTCCCTTTCTCACTCACCTACAACCTATAATTTCTGCCAAAGAGGCCTTTTCTTTACCCGAGGTTCCAGTTCCTGCTGCCCTTATTCCCTGTCTTTCTGGGGCACCCAAAAGAACACAACTTGCTCCAGGACTCCCCAGGCACGTCCCTAAACACAACCAAAGCTCAGTCAGCCTGGAGCTGTAGGGCTGGAGGACACCACCCTGCTTTTCGTGGAACAAGAGCTGTAAGTGCATGAGCAGCAATGGTACCCAAGGCTAGAGGACAGATGCTCACAGAGATTTGGCTCTGAAGCATCTGACTGTATGACTGTAACTCCTAATGTGCTGTGAGGGGTTCAGGAAATCTTACAAGTCATGCCTCTGTTGGTAAGTTTACAAGTTTAGCTTCAAAATCCAATGCCCTGCAGTGACATGGAATAAAGTGATCTGAAGGAATTGCAGTTTATTGAGCAACATTCTTTCTCATACTATTGTAAAAATCAGATTAATAGCAAGAGATATAACTGGAAGAAACACAGAAAAATATAAACCTGGATTCCACTTAAGAGTGTTCCCCTGGCTCGTTTTCAGAAGTCCCTTATAAATGATTAAAAGAACTAAAGTATGATGAATATTTTGTAAATCTTCAAGCCACTGCTTGAGCCTTAAGGAGCCAGATGTTTCTCCTGTAGAAACTGGTTTCTATAGCATGATATTCCAGTGCTATTAAGGAATACAAAGTGGGTGGGAGGAGCAGAAAGATAGCTTTGTTCAGCTCCTCAGTATTGCAGAGCCACCATCCTTCAGCTGCAGCTTGTACCTGCTCGCCATTTCCCATCCTTTTACTTTCCCCCACTTCTTTGTGTGCAATCATATTCTCTGGGATCATCTGGGAAACCATTAGCCTTCCAAACCCCTGAATTGCAGGCTAAGTGGTGTGTTTCCCAGGTTGCTCTCTATTTACTGTCTTTCCCTAACCTCTGACTCAGATTTCAGACTGTCCTATTACACAGCGTAAGTACTGACAGCCAAAAGCTGGGGGAAGGACCAGGAATCTGCCATCATAATGAACAGGATACTGAAAAACTAGAAAGATTCCAGTCTCTAACTTGACAAAAGAATACTAAGAACCTACAGGCAACTGCCTAATAACTGCTTTTCTGTTTCAAGACATATATAGCATAATAACACTATTTAGGTATATGAGCATCAAAGGGTTAGTTCCAGCTTTCACTGGACTTTTTGCCATTTTTATGTCTCAGATTTTCTGAAGGCCATCACTCTGAGAGCTTCACAACAAATTAGGACCATCCAAGACTAATAACGCTACCATCATTTGAGAAGTCTTTACTTGCAGAATCCTTTGAGGATTTCTTTTTAAACTTGGTTAAGACCAGCAAGAAGATATGAACAGGAAGATCTAGAAAACCATTATTAAGCAGTGTATTACTGCATTCCTACTGAGAAGAACATCTGTCACCAAAGATGAAAAGCTGTTGCATCAAATTGGATCAGTTCAAAAGTTTTTCTAGAATGCAGAACACAATACCAGGGTTTGCAAAAATGGTGCAGTTTCCTCTACACTGACAGAAAGGATTAGTGTATAATTTGAAATTATTATTGTTAGTGTATTATTTGAAATTTCTAGATTTCTTGAGAAGGCCACATTTTACCAGAGACAACACGATTGGATTTTTTCCTAATATCTACATCTGGTTAGAAAACTTTGTCTCTACAGACCTTCAGCCATCTCTAGGTTTCAGCAATAGGATATTCCTGTGCAGGAAGTGTCAGGGTAAAAGTTATAGCCAACGACCCAGTTCTCACAGTACTGCAATGCTGTATACAGAGTAAAAACCATGTATGTGAAACACTCCTCAGTTTCTCCTAAAAGAAGAATGCAAAACAAACAAAAACCTCAATCAAAAAACCCCAAAACAAAATCAGGGGAAAACAACCAAACAAGCAACCCAAAACCAACCCCAAGATGACACCAAACAAAACAAGCTAAGAGGTTTTATTCTCATCAGTTAATATGCCATCCAGGAGCAATGTAAGTCTCGATATGATGAAAGCCATAAAAGAGTCTGCAAGGAACATGGCAATTTTTTCCTGGTCTGTTTTCCACTGAAGCCAATAGAGCTGCAGCAGAAATAAACTGTGGGCACTGTGCAACAGTGGCAACACAAATAATAAAATTCCAGCTGTTCCTTTATTAGTATCATTTATTGTTGCAGACACTTCAGCAAGCAACAGGCTCACACCCTGCCCTTGCAGAATGTAATTTAAAGGGTTCGAAGAAAAGTGAACATCAAGAAGGTGTAGTAGGAAAACATTTCTTCCTTTTCCACCTTACAAGAGGTGAGGGCTTTCCTCGACCTACAAATACATATAGGACTTCGTGCAGCTTCACTGTGTTAGTCTCAAAACTGACCACAGGACTCCAACAGTGCTTGCAGACATCAAAAGCTGCAAAAATCACTGACATGGAAAGCAAGAAATAAAATTTGGACTCTAATCCACACAGACAGACAAGCCCACTCTTGCTCTATTTCTTCAGGGATTAACACATAACTATTGCGGGGATGTTACAGCCTGATAACCACATTGACTCTGCTGTTTGTAGTATATTGCTTACATATTTGATATTGTTTGGAAAATTAAAAAACTAAAGGGGGAAAATCCCAAAGCAACTGTCTTCTTTCCTTTTCCTCTCCCTGCTGCTCCTCACAGGGCATTTCAGTGCCGTGTTTCCAAGGAAACTGCACAGGGATGCTCTGCCAGTGGAGATGTTGTCGGAGGCTTGCCAGCACTCTAGGAACGGTTTAGAGTGATCCATAGGATGAACAAAAGAAGTAAAAGAGTAACAGCACAATTTAAGTGTGATACTGGAGAGAAAACAGGGAGCAGCAAGTCCCCCCCAAATATCCCTGATGGGGAAAGTCAGATTATGCTGCTGCTCTGAGTGTTGCACTTGTTATGCTGGCAGAATTTCAGAAGTGGTTTCAGACTGTTCTAAGCCACTTTCCAGCAAGAAAAAAAATAGGTCTGTACACTAGGAAATGCTTTTGAAACCCTAAACATAGTGAAAAAACTAAATTCAAAAAGTCAAAGCCAGAATCATTCCCTTTGCTCTTCAGTTGGGCGCAGTAAATTCAGCATTTTATCACCATCCCAAAACATGCAGCTTTTTTTTCTTCCCTCTTTCCCACTGACAGCTCTGAGACATGTTTCATTAAAAGATAGTTACAGATGTTCTTTGATAAAACAGGTTTAGGTACAGCACTCTGCAACACCCAGCAATGACAGAGGTTAAGACTTTCACTGTACAACTTCTCCTTCCTGTGGGAAAAATGCTTTTCCCAACCATTTCTGTTGAGAATTATTATTCAGGAATTATTCAAAGCTGAAGAAAGCAGCCTAAAACTCTTTTTTACTACTAGGTACAACAGGTAATACAGAAACTTAAGAGAAGTTCATAATTCACTTGTGCACTTGTGCTGGCTATTGTTTAAATATTTGTTTGTAACAAGACAGTGTCCCTATGTTATGCGTTTTTCCTAAAATTGACCCCAATTTGACTCTAAGAAAAAGTATTTGGGATTGAAAACATCACTAAGAAGATATATTTTTCTACCTCAAGTATATTCAAAATTTTGTATATTCTACAATATCACTATTGTAGAAGAAGCAACAAACAAAAAGAGGCAGATTTGTTAGCAAAACTATGTCT